AAAAAAAAAAAAAAGATAACTTCCTTTTCTCCAGATCCTTAATCACATCTGCAAAGTCCCTTCTGCCACAGAGGGTAACATTCACAGCTTCCAGTGATTAGGGTATGTGTATCTTTGGGGGACATTACTCACCTATCTTCTTTTCTGAGGATTGAGCAAGACATGCCTCCTGGATTGTGAGAAGAGGTAATTTATGCATCATCTTTAGTTAGTTTAACTCTGGACTTGAGTCATCGGCTTGTTCAGAGTTCACTAGAGAGTCGGTTATGTTCCCACTGAGACACACTGTCACCTGCCCACCTGTGTGAGGAAGACAAGGGAAGCTTTTTCTTAATCCTGGGTTGCTCATTGTCTCAGAGACACCTGGGGATTGGATATACAGAAGAAGGCAGCTGCACTGGACCAGTGCTGGGGGTGGGGCTGGGCCCAAGGAAGCTGGGTCCTCCTCTCTTGCTCCTCCCTCCACACCTCACTTGCAACTGCATGATGAGAAAAATCTATTCTCTCAAATGGAACAAATCTCTCTGTTATCTCTATAGGGTGGTCAGAAACCACTGACCCAGACACAAGCAGCTTCAGGACCTAAAGTGAAGAACACTGAAAACCCCAGGAAGGAATAGTGTAAAGAAGGAGAAGAGAGAGCTATGAAAGAACAGAACACAGAGCAAAATCCCCCTGCCTTTGGGGGAAGGATCAGCCATCATGGATTCTCTGGCTTGGGCCCCAGTCTTGCAGCCAGCATTTGGCTTTCATCTTCCAATATCTTTGGGGGCAGAACTGATCTGTGCATTCCACAGCATCAGGCGCCAATGCGGTAGCAGCATGTGAGAATGAACTGAAGCAAATATAACTTCCATTAAGTGTGCATTCATTTTGCGTGTCACTCTGTATCTTGCCCCATAGCAATGTAGCAGAGTCAGTTTTACAACACATTTTTTAGATGTGAAAGTGGAGTTGTAGAGAAAGTGAACAGCCTGCCCACAAGTAACACAGCTTTTTGGTACTAGAACAGATTCCAAATCCATCATCTCTTCCCTACACCACCCAGTCTTTTTCTCAGGCTCTGGGGAAGTTCACACAGCCACCTCCCTCCCTCCCTGCCCTCCACCAAAGGGTCTCTTCAAACATCCCTCCCTCCCCCCCTTTTTGAGATGGAGCCTCATTCTGGGCTCAGTCTGGAGGACAGTGGCAAGATCTTGGCTCACTGCAACCTGCAACCTCTGTCTCCCAGATTTTCCTCCTGAAGTGATTCTCCTGCTTCAATCTCCCGAGTAGGTGGGATGACAGGCACCCACCACCACACCTGGCTAATTTTGTATTTTTAGTTGAGATGGCGTTCCACCAAATTGGCCAGGCTAGTCTAGATCTCCTGACCTCAAGTGTTTCACTCCCCTTGGGCTCCCAAAGTGTTAGAATTACAGGCACGAGCCACCGTGCCTGGCCAGAGTCATCATGTATCCTGGCAGGGAGTGGAGCCAAGAAGACAGGCAAGTGTCCATAGCACCACCGCCTTATGTGGGACCTGCCACTTCAGCTGGCTGGTTGCTGGTCTCCACACTGGTTCCCTTCCAACAGCTAAGCCCACCCAAGCTGGGGGACACCTAAGCAAGCCTTCACCCAGTTCCACAAGACTGGCTGGCACCATTTTGGCTCCTGCAGACAGGTGTCTCCATTGCTGAGTAGGTTCTCCGGTGAATCAGGGCTTCCAAAGTCTCCCCTAGAGAAATGCTGTTTGCCCCTTCCCTTCCTCCCTTCCATGGTTGCTTTCTGTTTAGCCCCTCTCTGCCCAAACAAAGATGCTTTCATTGCTCTCTGTAGAATTCATATTTATCATTCTACTACCCATTCATAGCTCACAATTCACTTTTGTAATGCTTTGCTACCTATACTTAGGCCTTCTTTGCAAAAGGTGAAAATTGGAGAGGAAAGAGTGACTAAGCTTTTGCTAGACTTAGACTAACTTAAAAAGTCCTGTAGAAATCCTTACTAGACATGGGGGCAGCGGTGAGCATCCCACAGGACTTGCCACTGGGATGTCTTTTAGGCAAGTGGAGTCAATTCAGGTCAGATGATTTAAAGAAGATAAACACCTCGTTTTCAATGGCAACACTGTTCGGATCTAATACAAATTGGAGAACCAACAAATTTGGTCTAGAGATTGCTCTTTGTGTTATAATGCTATTTTATGATTAAATTTATTCTGTAAAAAGAAAGGAAACTGGGGAGAATTCCTAATGTGCAGGCTTTTATGGCGCTCTACCAAGATCGTGATGTAAGAGATAGCTATAGATTGCGTCTGGTTCACGGCACCCCTGACACCAAAGAGCTCCCCCCGATATCCTAGATGACCACTTCCTAGCTGCTCCAGCTAGAAAGCCTGCAACCATACCTGGGAGCTTCCTCAGTCCCTCAATTCTAAAGAGGTTCCCACCAGTTCTGTAGCACAGGATTCCACTCCAAGATCAAGAACTTCTCCTCCTTATCCAACGAATCCCAGCCTATGCCCCCTGCTGCCCAAGAAAGTCAGCCCAACCAGTACCACCAGGAGTGGGGACCCATGTCAGCCCCTCAAATCAAACCTGTGTCCATATCAGGAGGTAGTTGATAGAGACGGCCGAAAAATCAGAATATATGTACCTTTTTTGTGTCCTATTTGGCTTTATGTAAGAAAATTTGGCCAGTTTTCAGAGGATCCAGGGAAGTTTGTAAAGGAGTTTGTTAAATTGGCCATGTCCTTTGATTTAAGGTGGCATGAAATGCAAATATTATCTACTTGTTATGCCATAGGAAAAAAAAAAGAGGCTGGGTGCAATGGTTCATACCTGTAATCCCAGCAGGGGAAGATTTGAGAGGCCAAGGCGGGTGGATCACCTGTGGTCAGGAGTTCAAGACCAGCCAGGCCAACATGGTGAAACCCTTTCTCTACTAAAAATACAAACAGCCAGGCATGGCGGTGGGTGCCTGTAATCCCAGCTGCTCGGGAAGCTGAGGCAGGAGAATTGCTTCAGCCTGGGAGGCAGAGACTGCAGCAAACGGAGATCACGCCAGTGCACTCCAGCCTCGGCAACAGAGCAAGACTCTGTCTCAAAAAAAAAGAAAAACCTCGTGACTTCAAGTGCTAGGAATACACGGGATTATAGGCGTGAGCCACTGCACCTGGCTGGCCGTTTTGAACATTTTAAGTGCCTCATATAAATGGAATCATCCAGTATTTCCCTTTTTGTGACTGGCTTATTTTACTCAGCATTATATCCTCAAGGTTCATCCATACTGCAGCATGGGTGAGAATTTCCTTCCTTTTTAAGGCTCAATAATATTCCATTGCATGTGTAGACCTCATTTTGCCTCCCCATTCATCTGTTGATGAAAAGTTAGGTTGCTTCCATGGGTGTACAAATATCTGTTTGAGACTCTGCTTTCAATATTTTTTTTTAAGGCTAGTCAGGTGAAGCCGTGGGAGTGGAGAAGGAACAAAGAAATCTGTAACTGGTTGTGATCAAGTCGTTGTAAACACCACTGCACTCGGACCAGCTGCTTTCAATATTTTTGAATATACACCCAGCAGTGGAATTGCTGGATCATATGGTAATTCTATTTTTAATTTTTTGAGGAAATGCCACGCTGTTTTCCACAGTGGCTGCCTGCTGTTATTGGGTGAAGTTTATGTCTGTTAGATCTAGTTGGCTGATTGTGTTCAATTCTCTATTTGCTTAATTTTTTTCTGTATGGTTGCTCTGGCCATTATTGAGCACGAATGATTTAGAAGCGATAACATGCTGGTCTAGTGCGAACAGGAATGTAGCTTGAATCTTGACACCACCTCGTCCAGCAGCACAGCCTATCCTGTACTCAATGGAAATCAGTATCTATTTGTCTATTAAATTTTACTAAGTAATTTCGGAGAGATATAAGAGAATAATGCTTTTGTAAAAATTATTTTTTTTTGAGACAGAGTGTCATTCTGTCACCCAGACTGAAGTGCAGTGGTGCGGTCCCAGCTCACTGGAACCTCCACCCCCAAGGTTCAAGCAATTCTCCTGCTCAGCCTCCCGGGTAGCTGGGATTACAGGCACACACCACCACGCCCAGATAATTTTCATATTTTTAGTAGAGAAGGGGTTTCACCATGTTGGCGAGGCTGGTCTCAAAGTCCTTACTCATGATCTGCCTGCCTTGGCCTCCTAAAGTGCTGGGATTACAGGTGTGAGCCAGCGAACCCAGACCTAAAATATTATTTTTAACATGTAAGAATAGATTTCCAATGATTTTTATTATTGTAGCTACGTACTCCACCATATTAAGAACTCTTCCCCACTTCTACAAGACCCAGTTGATGCACAAGGACACAGTCTCTGAGGGGATGAGCTGGACCAAGGACCAATCAGGTTCAGAGACCTGGTGAGGGACAGTTGTCAAGGGTCTTGGTTCACTGACTGAGAGGCCTGCTCTTTTCTTTCCTTTTCTGAGACAGACTTGCTCTGTCGCCCAGGCTGAAGTGCAGTGGTGCGATCTTGGCTCACTGCAACCTCCTCCTCAGGTTCAAGCGGTTCTCCTGCCTCAGCCCCTCCAGTAGCTGGGATTACAGGTGGGCGCCACCACGCCCGGTTAATTTTTATATTTGTAGTGGAGACGAGGTTTCAGCATGAGGGCCAGGTGGCTGGGATTCCCCCGCTTCGCCCCAGATCCCCGGGAGAGGCCAGCGCGGCCCTCCCATGGGTGTCACAGAGACAGATGCGATGCGGGTCCCTCTCCCTGGGAAAGGGGTGGCTGGGTCCAGTCCGCAGGGTCCCTCTGGGACTGACGTAGGATGGAGGTGAGGTGGGCAGCGCTGGACCCCAGGGCCCCTGCCTGCCTCCTGGGGAGCAGGTGACCCAGGCAGCCATGGTCAGGCCGCGGTGTCTGGGCCCTAGCGAGGCCCCCGGGCTCCCACAGGACGGATGGGACAGGAACGCCGGGAGGCCCTGCTGCCCTCGGGACTGTCCCTCCAGTCCCCGATTTCCGTGGTTCTAAGGTCCCCTCTGCAGAGGGACCAGGGAGCCCCCCCTGCATCCTGAGGCGCCGCGCTTGAGGGACTCCAGAGCTCTGGCCAGGCCGCTTCCTTTCCGGATTGTGAAACTGAGGTCCAGAGGAGGGCAGGGGCAGGTCCTGGAAGCTCCCCAGGCAAAGGGAGCCAATCTCAGGGCTGGGGTCACAGGGCTCCACTCCTGCCACCTCTAGGGCGCTAGAGCCGGGAGCACAGGCTGGGGCCTTTCGTCCACCGCTGGGGCTGGGCGGAGGCTCGGCCTGTGCCGCAACGCGAGGCTGCTGCTGTGCAGTCCGAGCCGCGGCCCCTTTAAGAAGGGGGTGGTGCCTCAGCCAGTCGCTAGGGACGCTGCCTGCGTGCGCGCCTCCACGGAAGCCGAGACGGTGCTTCCCTTCCCGCGGGGCCGGCAGAAGCGGCGGCGAAGCGGCGGTGAAGCGGCGGCGGGTTCCTAGCCCGCAGAAGCGGCGAAGAGGCGGCTGAGCGGTCCCAACCGGCAGAAGCGGCGGCGGCCAGAAGCGGCGAAGCAATGGCGCGGTTCCAGCTGGCAGAAGCCGCGAAGCCGCGAAGAAGCGGCGCGGTCCTAGCCGGCAGAAACAGCGAAGCGGCGGGGCGGTCCCAGCCGGCAGAAGCATCGAAGCGGCAAAGCGGCAGCACCGTCCCAGCCGGCAGAAGCGGCGAAGTGGCGAAGCAGCGGCGCGGTCCCAGCCGGCAGAAGCGGCCGTGAGATCCCAGCTAGCAACAGCGGAGTCGGCTCGGTAAGAGCCAGCAGAACTGGCGGCGGTGTGGTCGGAGCGAGCGAAAGCGGCGGTGCTGTGGTGGAATCAAGCGAAAGCGGCGGCCAGAGGCAGCGTCGTGGTGAGAGCCCGCAGAAGCGGAGTCGGAGGGGAACGTCGGTGCGATCTTAATGGGATGGCCCTCAGGTAGGAACCAAATGCCAGATATGGTTTCAGTATAACCAAGCCCGGTCTATATGGGCCCGGAGCGAGAAGAGCGGCGGATGTGGGCGGGTTGGGTTGCTGGTTTCACGGAGGGTGGTAGATTAAGAGACCAAATATAGTGGTGGATATCCATGGTTAGGATTGTCGAAGTGTGATGGGCTATGTCCGATCAATGATTCAATGTACGAATGTATGATCAATGATATTATGTGGTGGGCGATATCCACATACTTGCTATGCTGTTAGGTACTTCTCAGGATTGAATGTGTTATGGTCCAATGTGGAGTTATAGTTCTTGCTTGTAAGCATGTTTTGTAGTGTTTTGATGTACGTTTTGAGTTAACGTGTTCTGTATGATTAAGCATTTGCAGTACTAGGTATTATTCACGGGGATAAACAGTAGTGCACTAATTACATAAGTGGTAGAGATAGTATATGTACTTATAAAGTACTTCATGGCTAAGCCTTCAATGATATTAAAATAAATTATTCAGGGAATAGTTTAAGATTAGAATTTCAGCTTTGGGTGTTGATGGTAGAATTAGATACTCTTTCCCCCATTGTCCTGGGGAGTAGATGCTCTCCCAGTTTACAAGACCAGGGTATTAAATTATACTACAAGGACCTTTATCATTTAAGTAATTTGTTTTCGATTAAAGCGGAGAGGGAAATTAGGGTAATGATAATAAGGAAGTAAATAATGGATGCGGTTTGGCCAGTAGTTACAAAGAGATATTCTACTGGTTGGCCTCCGTTTCATGTGAGTGCAAGTAGATCGGCTACTAGTGTTCAGAATAGGATTTGGGTGATTGGTCGGAAAGCTATGCTTTGTTGTTTGGATAAATGTGTTACAGGGATAGTTATTAGAATTAGGATGGAGAGCATGAGGGCTAGGACGCCCCCTAGTTTGTTGGGGATAGATGGTAAGATTGCGTATGCAAATAGAAAATATCAGTCTGGTTTGATGTGGGGCGGGGTATTGAGGGGGTTAGCTAATGTATAATTATCTGGGTCGGTGAAAAGGTCGGGTGTAAATAAGGTCAGGCTTATTAGGGATAGGAGGGGAAACATTAGTCCGAGGATGTCTTTAGTTGTGTAGTAGGGATGAAATGTAATTTTGTCGGGCTCTGATGTCACTCCTGATGGGTTACTTGATCCCGTCTCATGCAGAAACAAGAGATGGATAGTCGCTAGGGCTGCAATAATGAAGGGTAAAATGAAATGGAAAGTAAAGAATCGTGTGAGGTGGCTTTGTCTACTGAGAAGCCACCTCAGATTCATTGTACAAGGTCAGATCCGATGTAGGGGATGGCTGTTAAAGGATTTGTAATTCCTCAAAATGATATTTGTCCCCATGGGAGGACGTAGCCTATGAATGCTGTAGCTATAGTTGTAAGTAGTAGGATGTTACCGTTATTTCAAGTCTTCCGAAAAAGGAAAGATCCGTAATATAGACCTTGGCCAATATGAAGAAAGAGGCATACGAAGAATATGGAAGCGCCATTGGCATGTAAATAGCGGATTATTCAGCCGTAGTTGACGCCTCGGGTGATAATGGGAGACTGAGGAGGAAGCGGTTGAAGTGTCTGGTGTATAGTGTGTAGCTAAGAATAGCCCTGTGGTAATTTGAATAATTAGGCAGGTGCCTAGGAGTGAGCCGAAATTCCATCAAGAGGAGATGTTAGATGGTGTAGGGAGGTCAATGAATGAATGATTAATCATTTTTGTTAGTGGGTGTGTTTTACGAGGGGAAGTCATTAGGATTCTTATAGTCGAAGTACAACAATGGCTTTTATATCATTAGTGATGGTTATAATCCATGTGGGAATAATGACATATGCTTCATTTTCATTAAGTATTATTTTAGTAATGGGGTTTGTGGGGTTTTCTTCTAAGCCTTCACCTATTTACGGTGGGTTAGTGCTAATTTTTAGTGGTGCTGTAGGTTGTGTAATTACATTATGTTTTGGTGGATCTTATATAGGGCTTATAGTTTTTAATTTATTTAGGTGATATAACGGTTGTTTTTGGTTATACTGCGGCAATAGCAGTCGATGAGCATCCCGAGACATGGGTATCAAGCACTGATATTTTAGGGATTTTTATGTTAAGTTTCATGTTGGAAATAACTATAGTAGCTTTACTAGGTGGTGATCCCAATGAAACGGTGGAGGTTACCATTAATTATAAGACTGTGGCAAGTTGAATAATTTATGAGGGTGAGGGACCAGGGTTAATTCGTGAAGCTCCTACGGGTGCCGCTGCCTTAGATAATTACGGTGTTTGAGTTGTTTTAGTTACTTGTTGGGTGTTGTTTATGGGCATGCGTATTGCGATTGAGCTTACTCGTGGCGGGGGCTAAATAGTTAAATGTAGTGCCAGAGCAGGTGGAATAAAGAAAGATAAAAAATAGAGTTTAATTAGGCCCTTTTGAGTGGATGTGGTTGTAGAGATTGAGATTTGAGTTTGTGTTGTTATTGCTGGTATGGATTTTTCTGATCATAATAGGGCTAGTAAGATTGAGGTGAAGTTCTGGCTTGTGGTTAAGCTTGAATGGGGGTCAAAGCGATGAGAAGTGATTGAGTAAAAGCCTAGTATGTTAGAGAAGTAGAACGTTTTTACTGGGGTGCTTAATTTTATATTGTTGGTTATGAGATTAAGTTCTGTTGCTAGAAGGAGCCCTAAGATGGTTACGCCTAAAGCTGTAAGTGTAAGGTAATAAGGTGTAGTGACTTGAGGGTGTGAGGCAGGAGGAACACAACTGGAAATAAGAAACCCGGCGAAAGTGCTACACACTGCTAGGGGATTAATTGGGTTTATTAATAGGGGATTGTTTTCATTAATTAAGATAGGACTTGTAAAGCGAGGGTGTCCCCTTAGAGTAAAGAAAATAATGCGGATACTGTATATAGCTGTAAGGGAGGCGGCTACGACAGTAGTTGTACGGGCTCAGGCGTTGGGATACGACGTCTTGGTGGTTTCGGTGATTAGATCTTTTGAGTAGAAGCCTGTAAGGAAGGGTACACCTGTAAGTGCAAAGCACCAACAATGAGGGAGGAAGCGGTGAAGGGTAGAGTTTTAAATAGGCCTCCTATTTTTCGAATATTTTGCTCATTGTTTGGGCTTTGAATTATAGATCCTGCAGATAGAAATAGTATAGCTTTAAAAAAGGCGTGGGTACAGATCTGAAGAAAGGCTACGCCAATTGTTACTATTATGAGGCCTAGTTGGCTTGAGGTTGAAAAGGCTCTGTGCGATCTTTTTAAAATCATTTTGTGTTAGAGCACAGATTGCTGTAAATAGGGTGGTGATAGCTCCTAGTGATAAAATGAGCGTTTGAAGAAGCACATTGTTTTCGATTAGGGGATGAAAGCGGATAATTAAGAAAATTCCTGCAACGACTGTTGTGCTGCAGTGCAGTAACGCGGAAACTGGGGTAGGTCCTTCTGTGGCGGAGGGTAGTCATGGGTGGAGACCAAATTGGGCTGATTTTCCTGTTGCTGCTGGGAGGAGGCTTATTAGAGGAAAAGGGTTTGGGGTAGAGTTGAGAATAAATATTTGTTGAAAATCTCATGAATTGGGGTATAGGAAGAGTCATGCCATTGCTAGAATAAAGCCGATATCTCCAGCGCGGTTATCTAGAGTTGCTTGTAAGGCTGCTGTGTTGGCGTCTGTTCAGCCGTGTCATCAGCTAATTAGTGGAAAGGATATAATGCCTGTCCCTTCTCACCCAATAAAAAGTTGGAATAGATTATTAGCGGTAATTAGAATGAGCATTGTGACAAGAAAAATAAGTAGACACTTGAGAAATTGATTAATGTTTGGATCTGAGCTTATATATCATGTTGAGAATTCTACGATTGATCAGGTAACGAATAATGCTGCGGGGGTAAATATTACGGAAAAGAAATCTAGCTTAAAGTTTAGTGATAATTTGATAGTTTGGATTGTTATTCAATGTCAGTTTGAAATTACTGATTCTTGGCCTGTAAAGATAAATAATGTTATGGATCGGATGCTGATGATAAAGGCATAGGTAATAGCTACTTTTACATAATGTGGGTCTAAAAAATTTTGTGGGGGTTAATTAGAGTAATTATGATGGGTGCTAGTAAGGGGATTAGTATTATGAGAGTGACGGAAGAATGCATTTTTACCTTTATTTGGAGTTGCACCAGTATTTTTGGCTCCGAAGACCAATGGATAACGACTATCCTTTAAAAGTTGAGAAAGCCAAGCTGTTAAGCTTGGGGGCATGAATTAGCAGTTCTTGCATACTTTCTCTGTAGTTAAGAAGTTATGGGCTTCTATTGTTAGACTCACAATCTAATGTTTTGGTTAAACTACAGCTACAGGGTGTCAATCCTGTGGTCACCTTGGGCTTTAGGGTGAGGAGGAGGATTGGTGCCATATGTATTAGTATTACAGTAGTGTGTTTTCTCGTGTGAATAGAGGTTTTACATTACTAGTGCTATACGGTAATGGTCCTCGCCGTGTTGAAGTAAGTATGTGTAGCGAATATAGGGCTGTGATTAGTATGTTGACTACTGTAAATATGACAGTAAAGTTGGGTCAAGAGAAGGAGGCGAAAATTGTTAATAGTTCTCCTATTAGATTGGTAGTTGGAGGTAAGACGAGATTGGCAAGATTTGCTAGTCATGAGAGAGCTAGGAGTGGGAATAGTGTTTGGCGGCCTCGGGTAGATATTACAGTTGGGCTGTGGATTCGTTCGTAATTTGAATTTGCTAGGCGCAACAATAAAGATGAAGTGAGTCCGTGGGCAGTTGTTAGGATTATTGGGCCCGTCAGGCTTCAGGGGGTTTGGATAAGGATGGCTGGGATAACAAGTGCCACATCGCTGACAGAAGAGAAGGCGATGAGTGATTTCAGGTCAGCTTGTCGTAAGCAGATAGAGCTTGTTGTAAGTATACCTCAGAGGGATAAAATAAGAAAGGGGTAACTTATTTTTTCTGTCGGGGGTTAAGAACAGGGGTAGTTCGTATCATGCCATAGCCGCCTAGTTTTTGTAGGACTGCAGCAAGTACTATTGAGCCAGAAACTGGGGCTTCAACATGGGCTTCAGGGAGTCATGGATGAAGCCCGTATAAGGGTATTTTGACTATAAAGGCTATTACGCACCCTAGTCATATAACATTATTAGTTCAGGAAAGTAATACTTCTTTAGTGCTAATTATCATTGTCAGTATATGTAAGGATCCTAGGCTACTTAAGTAATAGAGGAGTGTAAGAAGTAATGGAAGAGATCCTGCTAGTGTGTAAAATAAGAAGTATGAGCCAGCGTTGAGGCGTTCTGGCTGATATCCTCAGCGCATAATGATAATTAAGGTAGGAATCAGGCTGGTTTCGAATAGGATATAAAATCGGATTAGTTCTGTAGCTGTCAATGTTATGATTAGGGAGATTTGTAAAAAAATTAATATTGAGATGTATAGTTTTTTCGTGGGGGGGATTATTGAGATGTATAGCTTTTTTCGTGGGAGGTGTTGTGTTGCTAAGATTATTAGCGGCAGTAGTCAGGCTGTTAGGGTTAACAGAGGTGATGTTAATGGGCCTGAGAAGAAAATTAGTGATAGATTCCATGAATTATTTGGGAAATATAAGAGTAGGAGGGTGAAAGCACTAATTGCTAGGCTGCAGGTTGTTATATTAATTCATATTATATGGTTTTTGAAAGTCATATTATTGGAAGTATCATAATTGTTGGTAAAATAATTTTTAGCACTGAAGTAGATTTAAGTTTTGCACATAATCTCAGCCATATAGATTAGAAATTAAGAGTAATAGGGCTAGGCCTACTGCAGCTTCCCATGTGGCGAATACTAGAAGGGTAATAGGTATCACATGTATTAATATGAAGCGTATATTTAAGGTCGTGAGTGTGGCTGTAATGAATAGTGACGCTATTGTGCCGTCCAGACATAGTAGGGATGATATTAGGTGGGATCGGTAGGTTAGTAGTCCTAGTAAAGGTATGAAATATGCTAATGCGGTATTAATGTAAGTGAAAGACACTTTGGTAAATACGATTTAACATAATCTAATGAGTCAAAATCATTTGTTTTGAATAAACGATATACCAACTCAACTCAATCTAACCCCTTCTGAGTTCATTCCTAGGTTAATCCCAATACTAGAGTAGCAAGTAGAGTAAGAATGATGTTGATTGTTAGCATTAAGTTGTTTGTTTGGGTTGCCCATGGTAGAGGTAAAATAGTAGGGCAATTTCTAGGTCAAATGGAAGAAATGGGACAGCAACTAAGAAAAATTTTATAGAGAAGGGTAGGTGGGCGGAGGTTGTAGGGTCAAACCCACATTCATGGGGTTACGTTTCTCTGGATATGTATTTAATTGTGGGAGTCAGAATGTAACGGTGATTAGAAGTGAAGCTAGAAGAATATTAGTCACTAGGGTTAGTGCTAGATTGATGACTCTCCTTTGAGTCTATCGAGGCTTATTGATCAGAAGTCATTGCTACTGTTTA